TGACATTACACAGATATACAAGAAATAATTCAGTTACAACTCACATGTCTTTCAATCGTGATTTAAAATTTATTTAAAGCATATGATACAACATAAACAAATAAATTTACATTTATATAAATTTACAGTTATATTTAAAAACAGTTCGATTGTTTTACATTTATTTTCAGTCGGTCATTAATATTCAACGATTCAGAAATCAGTCCTAAGAAATATATGATAATATTTGCGTATAAAAGTGATTGCTTTAGATTTTGGAGTATTTAAATTACTATGTAGCAGACAGATATACAGACTGTATATGTCTGCTACAACATAATTTTAATACTGTATTAATTTTTGAGTATGTTAATAGGTAACCGTTTAATTTTTTTTACAGTTTTAACCGTTTAATAGGTAAGCGTTTGAAAAAGCACACCTCTTTATAAAAGAAAGTTATATATTATCGCCTTCTTCTTGTTTTTTATTACAATTGCTAAAATTTTCTTAGTTTACACTGGTATCTCACAAAATTATTTGAACCGTAAATATTTAATTAGAGCTTCTTCAAGAAATTTTACTTGCGGCCATAAAACCGAACAATTAACTAAATACCGCGTATGCAAAGTGTACGTAAATGCAGTAATTCATGCATACCTGTCCGCACACAGCACCTAGTCCTCTGTAAAACACTTTACACTAATAATTTCAGATTCATAAACAAAAGAGGCTAGGGTAACGTATGTACCATATTTTGAAATAAATAACCCACCGATTACACTATTAAACGATGCATAGGCACTGTTTACAATACTATCTCGTAGTGGTTGATAGAACTAGAAAGTAGGTAAGAATATCCTACCCAGGCGTACTAATGGGCAGAAAGCGAGTTCTACCACTTAGTACGCTTACAGAATTATAGTTGCGGTAGCTCAAGGGTTTAAGCACTCGCAGTAAATTTCATAGTACGCAGGTGGCCCGGGTTCGATTACCGCCGGCACCAAGGAAATTGCTAATTCTAATTTTAATAAGTGATGATTTAAAAAATGCTCGGCGGTGAAAGAAAACATCGTAAGTAAAAAATATTCCGAAAAAAATATTTCGAAAATATGTCAAGTTTGTCAATACGCCTTGTGGCAGCATGACGGGCATTTCCTCGCCATAACACCTCACAGAAATGAAGAGGAGGCTTGTGCCCAGTAGTGGGACGTATATAGATATGCTGTAACTTTAATTTTTTTAATTCAACAGAATGATAACGATTTCGAATCCGAGATAAAAAATTATTATATTAAACATTGCGCAACTTAACTATTATTCCATTTAGTTTTTCGTGTTTCTTCCACGAGATGAGACGCTGCAAAACATGACGCCGTCTAATATTATTTAAACCTAGCTGTTCCTCGCGACTTCTTCCTCGTGGAACTTATTACGGTTGGATTCCATGGGTTTTTTTTTGCGGAGCCCTAATTGCTTTATAAAACAAAAGTATAAAGAATACTTCATAACATCAGCTATCTGCCAGTGAAAGTCCAGTCACAATCGGTGCATTTCAGAGATTAACTGGAACAAACAAACTAAACTGTTAAAAGTATCGTAAATACTTTCATATATCATGGTTGTAACAGGAATGGGTCGACTCAATCGGGGAAGGACCACGCTCTCACAGAATATCAGCGTAAAAGCAGCAGCAGCAGCAGCATAATACTGCTGTGTGAGTGTAGAGATCCGGAAACCCTTTTTTATTGGAAACGAGGCATTCTATCTTAGTCCTCAGGGATAACAACGCATCTGCGTTTTGATTCTTAATCCATACCATCAGGTGGACTGTGTGCTCGTTTGTCACCCTTATTCTATATAGATTTCATCCTCAGCGCCAAAAGAAAAAAAACGCTCAAAAATAACGCTAATTCTAATCAAAAGTTCATTAGCGATCTAAGAGCATATCGATGACGTATGGAGTTAAAATTTATTAATCCTATTACACCCTCGTCGCTTTAAGTACCTATATCTTGATCAACGAGTTCCTTTATTAAAGATTTGAAAAGATAATGTTTTAAAATCTGCGTAACAAAATAAACCTTACAAAGATTGTACGTAAAGACATACGAGTACATGTGAATCGTATGTTGTGCCTCATGGACTTAAATATATCGCATCAAGAGTGAGCTGAAGCGGGCAGAAAATTTTATAAGAACGCTAAATGATGCCATTGATATATTGATACGAGTACGAATGACACTGTGTGTGCCTATCAGAATTTTTAACGTTATCATAACGTTATAATGGTATCGTTACTTCAGCAAGCCTGTCATTTTCGATATTTTAGTATAACTTAAAATTTTTTATTTTAATTTAGATTACTTAACACTATTTATACCCTATAGAAAAATAAAGTTATAGATAAAAATATTAATCTAAATTACAGTTATTCAATTTATTATTTCTTATTATCTATAAAAAATTTATAGCATTAGTTTTATAGTAATTATTTTTGTAAAGTTTATTTTCTTAAAGCATTGTCGGCTGGCACCGACTTCGAAAACTCTAATCTTTAGTAAATGGAATCCCGCATTCAGTTATTTTTTACTTTTTTTTGAAATTGGTTTAATTTTTTTTAAATTGCTATTTTATATCGCAATTTTTAGTTTTAAGTTGTAATTATTACATACTAGAAAAACTATTTTCAGTTTTAGTTCCACGTTTTAGTCAATGTCATAAAACTAGTGAACCAATTATGATGAAATCGTTATTATTTCCTAAATTTGAAATAAATGTAAGCAAATAATCCTAAAGTTAAAATCAATAAAAAATGATCACGATCAATCACCATACGAAACACAGCAGCGTTTAGCTGCTATCATATGCTGGTATTCTGTGAGAGCGTGGTTTCCCCCGGTCGAGCCGAACAATTCGTGCTACAAAAATACTACTAATATAGCTCCAGCATGGCTCTCCACAACTTACCCGGTAGAATAAATCAATCGGGTTCATAGTTCATTAGAAATACCCGGTTATTTGGGATCTCCAGAGACCAAGGATTTTGTACCATTTAAAGAGGTTTTCGTTTATCCAGTTTTCCAATTAGACAGGTTCAAAATTTAGTTGTCTCATTTGCAGAGGCATCCGCTTATAGAGGTCGCTGTGTACCGTTATTCCATTTACATATAAAAGTAAAAATGAAAATGTAAATGCGTATTTTGGTGTTATAACTTAAGTGTATGTATTTAATACTAAAAAATAGTACAATACAGTAAATTTTATGCTAGAAATTCAAATGTTTGTAAACAATCGTGTCGAAACCTGCCCCAACTTGATAAATTGTCTCACTTATAAAGGGAATTGAACTCCAGAGTCCCAATTACAGAGGTAAATCACATTGAAAAAATCCTAGAAATCAAATCTCATTTAACCTGGTTCGAAAAGTCCCATTAACAGAGGTGATTCGATGAAAAAGTGCCGGGACCTCATTGTAGTTCTCAATAATGGAGGTTTCTCACTTATCCAGGTCGCACTTAACCAGGTTTCACTGTACATCATGGACAAACATGCATACAGACATTCATACATACTTAATACATACAAATTTTACACATGTGTTTAAAACCCATATATACTAACATATTATTCGAATATTATGCAATTCCAATAATATTACAAACATACAGGTCGAATTGATATCTTCTTTTTTTGAAGTCGGCTGAAATGTTTAATGGTGACAGTTTATGTTATTAAATACAACTATTAGTTCCAATAAAATTTTAGTCACCCGCATAGTAATTTCCTTTCATATTCGAAATTATTTCTTTACAGACCCTACATGGTGCAAATCTATTAAAGCATTTAAGCAAATACCATGAAAATGAGCACAAGGAAGTATTAATACTGAATAGAGAAAGTGACAGTTTGGCTAAAAACCCAAGATTAAGTACGCAGGATACATTACTTCAGGAGTGTACAAATTTAGTTACTGTTCACGGACGTCCATTGACTTTAATCGATGATCAGGCTTTTCAAAATATTATATCTCTGATACCAAACATTAACTTGGCGATTAACTCTCAAAATGTACGATGTACTCTCAAAGATACTGCTGACCAATTACGTTCAAATTTAGCCAATGAGTTGCGTAATTTACATATATGCCTCAAAGTGGATGTAGCCTCCTTGTCGAATCGTAGTTTTATGGGAGTCAATGCTCAATATGTTAAGGATGGACAAATTGTTCTTAGAAATCTTGCAGTAATTGAACTGTTTAAACGACATACATCTGAACATTTAAAGGAAAGATTAATTTTCATTTTGCGGCGTTTTAGAATCTACAACAAGCAGGTTTATTGTATAACTACAAATAATGGTGCAAACATATTAAAAATGAGAAGATTATTTGCGGCCGAAGCTATTCATATTGAAAATAACAACGAAAATAATAATCCTGAAGAAGGTGATCGATTCCAGTGAAGAACTAGTTTCCGTTCCTTTGTCAGGGGAATTAGAGCAAGAACCTCCGAACCAAAATTTGACATCCGAATTGACTACGCTTACAACAATATTGGATACTACTTCAACACAGAATAGAGATGAGAATATTACTTCTATTGATGTAAACATTAATATAGTGGAGCCTAATAAAAATGACCTTGAATTTTCGTCCGATGATTCAGTCACTGATCCTTCATTTGTCGCCCTCTCAGACATAACAAATTTAAAGCCACTATCACCAGCAAATACGGAGTGGTTTCCCGAAAGGGAAATAGAAAATACGGCGAAGAAAAATGGAAGAAAGCGGAAAGGGAATCCTAATAACTGGAAAAGAATAATAAATAAGCGGCAAAGGATGATGGGCGAGGAATACATTGGATTTAAAAAAAGATGGCACTAAATTCGTTCAAAATGATCCTAAACCCGCCAGAATAATGGGTCCAATATGTATGTCGAAGAGATGTTTCAGTGGTAAAGCTATGTATTGCCCAAAGCTAACAGAAGAAGTGCGGTCAGAAATTTTTAAAACCTATTGGAAAATGAGTTGGCATGAAAAGAAAATGTATACAGCTTCAATGGTGGATAAGACACCTACAACTAGAAAAACTAAGAACTCAAATTCAAGGCGCAGTGACACCAAAGTTTACTATTTAAAAGTAAACGATAAAAAGGAAAGAGTTTGCTTAAAAACATTTTTGGAAACATTGGGCATAAAAGAATGGACAGTTCGATATTGGCTAGGAGAGAAGACGACTATCGACAATGAATCTGAACCAAGTGCTGTAGTAGCCACAGAAACAAAAAAGAATCATCCAGAAAATACTTGATGGCGCTACCGAAACTACCGTCTCATTACTGTAGACAATCTACTTCAAAGCTATATTTAGAACCCATCATACAAACAAAATCACAATTGTATCGTCTATAGGTAGACTACTCAGTTTCGCGAAATGAACCTGTGGCCTCTAGGAAGGTATTTGAAGGGGTTTTATTCGAAGAGAACATCAGTCTATTTCAACCAAAGAAAGACGCATGCGACCAGTGCTGCGCTCACAAAGCAGGTAACATGTCAGATGAGCAGTATATAAAACATATTGAGCTAAAAGACTTAGCTAGAATTGAAAAAACCCCTTGACAAAGAAGCAGCACGGAAAGGGACGATACATGCATTAACAGCAGATCTTCAAGCAGTCAAATTGTGTCCTTCACTCAACGCCAGTGCACTATATTTTAAGACAAAACTTGCCGTCCACAACTTTATAATTTACAACCTGGGAACTAATGGAGTCGCGTGTTACTGGTTCGACGAGACGGCATGCGACTTAAAAGCTACTACATATGCATCATTTCTTGTAGATTATTTAACTAAATTACTGGAAAATGATCCAAAGGATGTAGTATTGTTCACAGATGGCTGCACAGCCCAGAATAGGAATAATATTGTGTCGAATGCGTTGTTGCGTTTGGCCATGGCCAAGAACATAGTTATAACTCAAAAATACTTGGAAAAGGGCCACACTCAGATGGAAGTCGATTCGGTGCACTCGGTGATCGAAAGAAAATTGAAAAATCGAGAAATATTTCTACCCTCACAATACGCAACAATCACGAAGGAGGCCAGAAAAGTGCCGAGTCCTTACCAGGTTATTACTCCTGATCATACATTTTTTAAAAACTTTGCTCATAAAGATCACCTCATTTATGATTCAATAAGACCTGGTCGTGGGGCGGGTGATCGTGTCGTCATGGACATAAGGGCCCTAAGATACAGTCCTAGTGGGACAATTGATTTTAAACTCCACTTTGTAGACGATTTTGTTCCTTTACCTAGGAGACCAAAAAAGATATTATCTGACTCTTTAATTGATTGCGTAGGTCCATTGTATGAATCCAGACAACCAATATCCAAAACAAAGTATGATCACATAATATAACCTAAAGACTGTCATAGTTTTTATGATAATTTACCTTTTAAATAATATTCCTAATAACCAAGATCTTAAATGCTGTGATTATTAATCGTTTTAATGAGAATTTAAGAACTAAGATAATAGAAGTACTTCTACGTCTAAGATAATAATATAAGAGCATCCAGGTGTAATGATTGCCATATTTAATTGTTAAAGCTTTTAATAAAAAAAAATCGTATTCGTCCAAGAAACTAATTAACAAAGATTGAAATGCTGGGATTTTAGAAGATCGAGGAGGCTGATTAGTTTATTATTCTTAATTAAGTGAACGTAATTGTTTTATTGTAATTAGAGAAATTCAGGGATTGTGTGATTAAATTGATATCTAGAGTAAGAGTTATTGTTTTTTTTTTTCTAAGAAGATGTATAATTTTGTATGTTTTTTTCTACTATAATATATCATAATAAATTCAAATTAATAATATATGTATTTTATTTTAAGCCCGCGTATCTCCTAAAAGTATAGTATTTAAATTTAATTTGCTGGTACAAAACCGCGTAAGTGACTTTACACGAAATCTAAACAAGTTTCTAGTACATTTAGGTTAAATTTCTATAAAATAAGTAACAAAGAAGCTGCTATAAAGTTCAGTCGGTAATATAATTATAAATTACCAAGTTATTAAGTTTTTTCTTCTTCCTGTAAAATTCTAAAAATGTAGATACGCGGTATTTACAAACTGCTCTTCCGCGGTTTTGCACGCGCAACGACGATATTTGTTCAAGACTCGAAACGGAAAATATGCCATCTACCTCAAATGAACAAGCTGCAGGTTCAAGTCAGTGCTTGGAGGATTTCTTAAATTATAGCTATATAGAAAAACATGTTCATAATATTTCAACATTAGTAAGAAGGAGCGATCCAACTGGTGAAATAACCAATACTCTCAAAGCATCCTTTAAAATATTTTTAGAAGAACCACTTCTTAAGTCGTCGGAAAGCGTTTTAAAATTCTGGGAAGAAAAACAGCTCATATATCCACAATTATATCAATTGGCGCGTGTTGCATTAAGTGTACCAGCAACGCAAGTTAGTGTGGAACGACTTTTTCATCGTTAAAGTTCATAGTTTCCAATTTGAGGATGAATTTAAAAGACGATATCATAGAAGATATTTTATTTGTGCGTTGTTACAATTTATATCGTTAACTGAAAAAAGTACATCACAATAAATAGAAAAACTAGGGCTAAACTAATACCGGTCATATCAATAACAGAATGTTTATTATAAATAGTCATTATACAAAAATATTATGTATCTTAGCGGATCGTTACTTTACATTATAAATAACTAGCAAGATTGTAAAATTATGATTATAAACGAACAATAAGATTTTCAATTTAACATTTACATTTTTTATTAAATTCGCCCCATTGATATTTGCCCCTCCCCATTTACACTTTGGAAAATGTTTTTTTACAAACTAAAGCTAGTTTGTAATGTTAATATGTTTAAAGCTAGTTATATTATAATTACTTACATGCTGTTTTGCGTTTATTTTCTTTGTTTGAATTTATAATACCTTATGTACCTACTACTTTATTTATTATTATTGATTGTTTAAAAATCGCTAAAAGGGTATCGTTTTTTATTTATTATAATTCCCTGCATTGGTTAATCAGTTAGTTAAATTTGTAATGCAATGTATCAAAGTATTCCTTGTGTCATTATAAGGTTAAGCCCTGCAGGTTATATTCTTTCCGTGTTCGTTTTCTCTATTTGATTTGTGTGGTAATTTTTCACTTCGTTCAAAAAGTTTAGTATTTTGATGTAACATCTTGTTCTCATACATGGGTTAATATATTTTAGCTCTTCAGTTAGTAATTGGGTAAAGTATTCATTCCTTCTATCGTCGTTGATGTAAGTAGCACAACATTCAGACTTAGTTAGAATTCTTAAACGTGTTTTATTCTTATCTTCTTTTATATTGGACCTTGTAGGCCGTAACAATGACGGGGATATTGGACGATTATTTGCTTCTGAGTCCATTATTTCAGGAGTAATGCTTCGCTTCATACCTAAAACTAAAAAGATATAGAGACCTTAATAATTCAGTTTAGCAGATTTTTTGTTTATCCATTATTAGGTATCCTAATTAGATCAAGACCGCGCTAGCGATAACTTCAGTAACGGCCGGTTCCAATATTCTGTCTATCCGTGGGTTTGGTTACAGATAGGTATTTGACATTAGCTCCATCAAAAATACGTTGAAATTCTACCTCCAGGCTCAAGTAAGAAAATTCATCCACAGATAGATAGGATACTGAAACCAGTCGTTAGCGACGCAACAAATTTTGATACAGTTTTCACTATAGTTTAGAGAATGTCTTGCGGAAGGTTTATAAATTATTATTAAACATTAATAATATAATTAAAAAGTAAAAAACTTTTTTAAAAACAAGCTTTTATTTAAATGCACTTAAAATAATAAAATAATACTTTTTTTTCACATAAAACTTTTACTATCAACTTATTAACGTCATTACACAATAATTTATATGATTCAAAAACTTGTCGCGAGATTTACGTATTTAATTAGTTTGAAAATGTTCAAACTTACTTTAGGACTTTTACCAAAATCGATCAGATCGAGTTATTTAATTTACTTGTACCTATTTCTACACCGTAAATCTCGCGACAAGCGCGAAAATCTCTAGTAAGCTTTGGAATGCCCTACTTTTGCATATACGTTAAGCACAAAGTTTAAATTGTATGTACCTATATTTTTTTTTTAAATTATTTATACTCTTATAGAAAAATAAACCCATAATTCACTCACGTATTTACTGATGAACATATAGCCTGAATTTAATTAAAATTGATTTTATTACATTCGAATGAAACAGCTTTTTCACTTAGTGGGCGTACCTAAAATTGTAGATTTTGAGGAAACTTTGCGATCTTTTTCTATCGAGCCAAAATGTGTCAATCGTGTTTTCGTGTGTGTGTCGTTGTTTCGTGTTCACTAAAAAAAATCTTTAACTTTCATGATGAATTCAAAAAAAATTGTTTTTATGCGCACCTATAAAGCGTGAAAAATCTGCTTCTGGTATGTATTTATTGTATTTATCTGCGGTATTATTGGTGTAGGTATGTACATAATTATGTAGATATGTAAGTTTTTTATATATTTATATATATGTACATAACGTATATTATATGTTTTACTTTGTCTTTTATTATGTATTATTAGATTATATCATTTTATGTATTGTCTATACGTCGCATGTATTGATATTATATTATGTATATTTATATTACACCACCTACCTAGTATTCATTGTTTTATTCCTTTACACCTTTGGTTGCCTGGAAGAGATCGCTATGTAGCGATAAGGCCGCAAAATTGTACATATAATCTGCTTTTTGTTATGTTATTTGTAAATTTGTTTGTGGTGTACAATAACATATATTCATTGATTCATTCATTCATCAAGATTTTATATTATATGAATTGTGTAATGACAATATAAGTTGATAATAAAATTTTTAAAAGAAAAGCTTATTTTATCCATATTAGCGCATTTTAAATAAAAATTTGTTTTAAAAAAGTTTTATTTCTTTTAATTTATTTTTTTAGCTTTTAGTTATCGCTGGCTGGCTATTTATAACGCCACTGATTATAACAAAAACCGGGTTATAAAAATTTATGTTTACCAGTAATATGTCAAACAGCCTCTGCTGGACTGCAACATGCTTATAAGTAAGGCTGTATATTTATTTATACAACAAAATTAATAAGTTGACAAATATATATCCCTTGAATAGTAGAAAAGTGAAAATTAAAATTAGGAATTGGCCATTAGGATTAGATTATGATCAAACTGAATCGATATTTCAAAAATTGTTTAAATCTTAAATTTTAACCACACACACAAACACATGCAAACGCGCGCACACTCACGCGCACTCATGCTTATCACACATGCCTACACTTACACTCACACCCAGCCGCAAGCAAACACACACACACACACACACACGCACGCACGCACGCACGCACGCACGCACGCACGCACGCACGCACGCACGCACGCACGCACGCACGCACGCACGCACGCACGCACGCACGCACGCACGCACGCACGCACGCACGCACGCACGCACGCACGCACGCACGCACGCACGCACGCACGCACGTACGCACGCACGCATGCATGCACGCACGCACGCACGCACGCACGCACGCATGCACGCACGCACGCACGCACGCACACACGCACGCGCACGCACGCACGCACACGCACGCACGCACACGCACGCACACACACGCACGCACACACACGTACGCACACACACGCACGTACACGCACACACATAGACACACACGCACACACATATTTTAAAATTGCTTTACTTACATAAAATAATTAACTGTCATTATATTAGGGAAATCACTGACTTTTCTAGCTCGGCAGTCAGAGGCTTAAAAAATATTATAACAAATTTTATGTCAATAAAGATTATAATAATTATTATTACTTCATTTTTCGAGTTATTCTTAGCAAGCCCTTTCATTTGATATCCATATTGTATGAGTGCATTAAAAATAATAAATCTGCCATCTTTGGTGCATACAAAGCTAAACGTTTTTTTTTAAGTTACAACTCAAACGATTGAAAATATCTGCTTCAAAACTGAGTTGCGTGATTCCACCCGAACAAACATGGTTACATACATTGCAAGTTAACTAAAAGCTATTAAAATTACACCCGTGCAAAGCCAGGGCACGACATTAGAAACATGTAAAAATATTTAATTATCTTACCTTTGATATTCCGACTTCCGAGTTGTATGTACTTATGTAAAATCTATCTCAGTTGATAATTCAATTGCTGCGCAGATGATCACAAAACCGATAAGCTTTATAGCACTGCGTTCGATAGATCATAGAACGAACATGCGAGTAAAAGAGATGGCATAGAACAATAAATAATAACGTTAATATTTTGTATAACAATAT